CCCATGAATCTAGTTATATTTGATCAGCACGTCCTGATTAAACTAACCAGACTATGTTAGGTGGAAAAATAACCAAGGAGGTTATTTCCCAACCCACTCTCTGTCCGCATTCTTGTGGACTCGTAGAGAACATTGAGGTTGACTGATTGGCCCCTGATTCTTTGACATTCGTTCAAACGGATCTAACAATGTTGGCTCATTGTACAACAATGTTGAAATTTTGGTTTAACTGATTTTTAAAGAACTTATGGTTATGGAAAAAGTACGGTGGCCCATACGGGCCAACCCTTCTCCGTAGAAACTTGCACCTTCTCCGTACAAATGTGTTGTTATTCCATGGAAATCAAACTTCTCCGTGGAATATTGCCGTTGTTCTGTCACGGAAAGCCTTTTCTCCGTAGAAATATGTCGTTTCTCCGTGGAAACACGCATCTTCTCCGTGGAAACACGCAGCTTTTCTGTGGAAACACCGCAGCTTCTCCGCGGAAACGCGTAGCATTTCTGTGAAACACGATGCGGTGGCCCGAACGGGGCACCTCTTCTCCGCAGAAACATGCAGCTTCTCCGTAAAAACATGCAGCTTCTCCGTAGAAACACGTGCCTTCTCCGTGGATGAGCACTTTCCTTGTGAATTAAAAAAGGCACGCCCCCCTGAATATTTATTGTTTTATACGACGGGGGGAGGAAGAGAAAATAAAGTCACAAGTCAACATCGTGGTCAAAACATTACAAGCCAATTTTATAAATATGAATGCTTTAATATGGGCACAGATATCCAGCATATAAATTGTGAGAATTGCCAGGCAGAGATTTTGATCGTTTATAGCTTTTGTAACAATTGTGGAAATAGATACATACTATAAAGTTTTACTTTTTTATATTTATGTTATCATTTTTATTTGTGGATTTATATTTTTTATAAATTGAATATTTAAATATACAACGTATTAATCTGTCAGTCAGTCTCGTATGCGGATCTGCTAGTGTAGGTATGGATATACAAATACCTACACTAGCAGATCCGCATACGAGACTGACTGACAGATTAATTAATACGTTGTATATTTAAATTAAAAATATAAATCCACAAATAAAAATGATAACATAAATATAAAAAAGTAAAACTTTATAGTATGTATCTATTTCCACAATTGTTACAAAAGCTATATAAACGATCAAAATCTCTGCCTGGCAATTCTCACAATTTATATGCTGGATATCTGTGCCCATATTAAAGTATTCATATTTATAAAATTGGCTTGTAATGTTTTGACCACGATGTTGACTTGTGACTTTATTTTCTCTTCCTCCCCCCCCCGTCGTATAAAACCAATAAATATTCAGGGGGGCGTGCCTTTTTAAATTCACAAGGAAAGTGCTCATCCACGGAGAAGGCACGTACGGAGAAGCTGCATGTTTCTACGGAGAAGCTGCATGTTTCTGCGGAGAAGAGGTGCCCCGTTCGGGCCACCGCATCGTGTTTCACAGAAATGCTACGCGTTTCCGCGGAGAAGCTGCGGTGTTTCCACAGAAAAGCTGCGTGTTTCCACGGAGAAGATGCGTGTTTCCACGGAGAAACGGCATATTTCTACGGAGAAAAGGCTTTCCGTGACAGAACAACGGCAATATTCCACGGAGAAGTTTGATTTCCATGGAATAACAACACATTTGTACGGAGAAGGTGCAAGTTTCTACGGAGAAGGGTTGGCCCGTATGGGCCACCGTAAAAAAGCCACTGGCAGTGCGTTATCCAAAGTGAGGATACGTGTTGTAAATATTGTGAAATAAGGGACTGGTCATAAAGTAACTGCTACGGTGGGCTGGAGGTAAATCACAAATTTTGGCAAGAGTGGGTTGACTACAAAATTTTTGTATTTCGCTATAACTACAGTTACTTCAAAAATATGTAGTCAGCTACAACTATTGCTACTTTTGAACAAAAGTAGTTCGCTACTGACTACTGCTTAGAAAACGTAGCGAACTATTTCGCTATTTCGCTACTCTATATATTTTTTAATTTTACGGTATTTGGAGCATCCACTAGCTCAGGCTGTAATCATAGTCTTTCAAAACATGGTTTGGAAACTCCGCTAAAGTCTTTGTTCTATCTTTTTGTTCGCGTTTATGCAGTTTTGTGCATGGTGCACGGTCAATGAACACATTGTATTTCAGTATAATGCCGAACGAATCATCCAACAGCGACGTTTCAGTTCAGTCATTCAACCATGCTATTTAAATATTAATAAACCTAAAACAAAGGATGTGCACGGTGTAAGTACTGTTCAACATAAAATCCCAGCACATTATAACCGCTTTGAAGTTTACTGAGGTTCCAGACCATGCATGTTTCTTTCGATTATCAAGGGTGGGTTGACTACAATTTTTTTGTAATTCGCTATAACTACAGCTACTTCAAAAATATGTAGTCAGCTACAACTACTGCTACTTTTGAACAAAAGTAGTTCGCTATACTGACTACCGCTACTGCTTAAAAAATGTAGCGAGCTATTTCGCTATTTCGCTACTTAATATTTTTTAATTTTACTGTATATGGAACATCTACTATAGCTCAGGCTGTAATGTAACCTACAACAAATCGACTTACGAGCAAATAAGACGGGCATGCACTTGCACAGTTTGAACAGTTGCACGGCATACTTTATTCGTGCAAATTGAGTATTGAGTTTAAGCAAACTGTGTCTTAATAACATTCTATTCTATCAAGTTGCTAACAATTTTAAAAAGTAGCGAATAGCGATTTTCTGTTTGAAAAGTAGTCAACTACTTGGCTACTTTTAGGCAAAATGTAGTTCGCTATAACTACAGCTACTGTTTTGAAAAAGTAGTCAAAAACTACTGGCTATACTTGAAAATTGTAGTTCGCTACAGTAGCGAACTACAACTACTTCGCTACTACCCACCCTTGTCGATTATGCTGTAATATATCTATAACAAATCGACTTACGAGTAGCAACACAACAGTAAATTAACACAAAGGGTCAAAGGAACATTTTTGTAAGCACTACAGTGTTCAGGAGTTCCACTTTTCATTGCGCTAAAATAATCTTTACTGTATAAAATAATCTTTTAAGCAAACCGTGGCGTGTATTAATATCATTCCATTCTTTCAAGTTTATAACAATTTTAAAAAGTAGCGAATAGCGATTCGCTGTTTGAAAAGTAGTCAACTATTTGGCTACTTTTAGGCAAAATGTAGTTCGCTATAACTACAATTACTGTATTATAAAAAATAGTTAAAAACTACTGGCTACTCGGAAATTGAAGGTCGCTACAGTAGCGAACCACAACTACTTCGCTACTACCCATCCTTGAATTTTGCCGATATACGTTCTGAGGTGACCCATCTTAGGATGTAGACAAAAATTTCAAAGTATGAAGGTATGAACATTGTAAATATACACGGCCCTGTATTGACATACACAATTCCACCAAGCTTGACCGACACATTCATCACCATGCAATTACGATACTGAGCTGCTCTCCATTTGGCTGTATTTGCTGTGATTCGCGGACCACTTCTTGTTGTTGCATATATAAACAAAGTACTGTTGTTGCATATATAAACAAAATACTAACAATAGCATCATTTACTGATTTGCATTTGATAATTTGGATATATAGTTTTGTTTACTTATTATTAATATCTTTATTTTTTGAAGTAGACATGCATGGGTTTTTGTTTGGTGGCCCAACCGTGGACATACAAAAAAATTGGCGCCGCCATATTTGGCGGCCCATCGAAACTGCCCAAAGATTTTCCATGGCCCATCCAATCACTCCAGCCCACCCTAGCAGTTACTTTATGACCAGCCTCTAATGAGTATTAATTAAACACCATGTATTTGAAAGTGTTTGGATCATAGATATCTTATATACACTAGATAGCGCATCTCTTTAGTAAAATTGAAGCCAAGAATATTCCAGCGGTTACCCCCCATTTGAATAGATGGCGGGCATATTGGAGTTTCCCACTCAGGGGCGCCGGAAGCAATGTAAAGCGGCGGGGGCAGCCATTTCAAAAAGGCACTTCATTTTTCTGAGCGGCAATATTTGTTAAAACTTTACTGAATGGATACTCGATTACTTCTGGCTATTATGGGTCGGCAAACCTCGACCTTAATTTTGAACAATTTTATTGTTGGTGCAAATAAAATCAGTAAACGGACTTATATTGCTTGATTTAGCATTAATTTTACTGCAACTGGTTAAAAATAAAGCAAATACCGCTTAAACATTGCTTAAGAATAGTTATAAATTCCAATTTCTGTGAATAACGAACGAATTTCGAAGTTAGTGATATGGATAATGCAATCATATCCAATAAAGTCGAGAGCATTCAGTTTAACAACTTATCAAAAGTGCAGGGGTCGTGCTCACAAATAATGAAAAATTATGTAGGCTCTTTTGTATATGCGGCTTTATAGGGGTGACATATCGGGCCAAACTCGTTCCCAAGCTCTTCTTTATTGTGTCGGGGTTTTCTTTAAACTATTACGCTATGCCCAGTATCTTTCCCTGGCCAGAACGTGAATTATTCGTTTTTAGATAATCCTTCAATAGTTTAATTAATATAGAATTACAGTTAATTATAAGATGCAAAGTTTTTAACTGTTAGAATCGCGCTATACACATGTTTACTTTAAAGCATACGCGTTGTTAATATTCAATAAAATTATAGAGCACAGACCAACGTCTGTCACCCCATGATTGAGAGTGTTATTCACAACGGCAAATTAATTTCGGTTCATTGCAATAACATTTTTAGATGGTTCACCAATCTGGAAGAATGATCACAAAAGTTTATGCAAGTTTAGAACAGATATAAAAAATAACTTAAATTTTAAATGCTAAGTCGTTTTGCTTCCGTGCATGCTAAACGCTCTGAAAATTCTTCTTTTGAACTATTTTGCTATTATTTGCTATTTTTTAAGTGGCGTTTATACACCATGGAAACCGTGTCTTATGTGTATGATTCTTAATTATTGGTGGAATACATCTGGTGTATAACGAATATACGGAAACGAACTTATTTGCCATTTGTTCTGTTTTTTAAAGGAATTAGTGCGCAGACAAGCTGCCAGCTTGATCCTGAATTATATTTCAGCAACGAAAGTCACAACTCAAATTACTTGAACGAAAGAATGGGGAAGACAGCATATGATGTCTTCAGATATTCTGCCGCTGTAGTACTTGTAGTTGGGATTCTCGGTAATATTTTGGTAATCATTTCCATAATCAGACAAAAGAAATTGTTGAAGAATAACTACTACTTTCTTGTTCTACATCTTGCGATATGTGATCTGGGGCCACTGATAAGTTTGCTTTTCGATCATATCAATGACTGGAATTTTGTCGAAGATCGCCTGGTTATTATTTCCACCAAGTATTGTGCTTTCTTTTACATATATCTCATTTTTCGAGTCGCAGGAATAGGTATGATGTTGATCATTTCGCTGCTTCGCTATCGTGCTACTGTTCATCCTTTAAAACCTGAAGTTAGTCGACGAAAATTGAAAGTCGTTTGTAGCTTGGTGTACATTGTTGGTTTTATTGCAGGTTATGGAACGTATCTGCCGTTATGTTTCCGGATGCAGTGGAACGATGTCGCAATAGACCTTTCCCCTTATAACCAAAATTTTGATCTAGGTAAGTCTAGACAAATATTTCATCACAGCTTGAAAGAGCATCACAAAATTAGTAATATTCCAAAGTTTCGTTGCGAAATGTTGTAAAATGAGGAAAATAGAGCCTTGCGAAGTTTGCAATTTTCAGTCATTTTAGATTACAAACGGGAAATTGCAGCCCCAACACCCGAATCGTATGTCAATTTCCGTTTGTAATACAAAATGACTGAAAAATGGCAAACTTCGCAAGGCTATATTATCCGCATTTTACAAGATTTTGCAACAAAACTTTGGAATATTACTAATTTTGTGATGCTCTTTCAAGCTGTGATGAAATTTTTGTCTAGATCGAAATTTTAGTTATAAGGGGAAAGGTCCATTGTTTATGATAAAGTTTTTCTGGTTACGTCATATCATGCTTTTACTTTTTCCCAACAGTATTTATGGCTGTAGTTTATTATAAGTCGAGAACTGATCAAACAAAACAGAAACATGAAAATTAGCGAATGTTCAAATCCCGTAAGGCGAGGTGCGCCTGACTCTTCCTTTAATATACCGAAATTTATCCGAAATCGTCCAACTTTCTTTGTTTGTCTTATTACCGTCCTATGTTATGGAATTGGAAATATTCCTGCCTATGCAGTGTGGTATATTTCGTACATCGCTGGAGAAAATTATTTCTTACCGAAATACGTTTGGATTAAGTATTTGGCAAATGTTCTGAAAATTGTTGGTTCGCATTCAGTAAATCCTCTCATATATGGAAGACTGGACAAAAAATTGCTCCCATTTTGGAAACTTTGCCGCAAGAAAATACGGAGACCACGAGGAAACTGATTATATAGACAGTTCTTGTATAGCAAGCTGAACAAACGAGACATCTTAGTCATCTTCATAGAATATCAGCCTCATAGGTAGACAGTCGTGTTTCCAAGATGAGACTTGTATCTCCTTCAATTCATTGTCTACGACAGTAAAAAATAAATTCATTGTCTATCGACTACGACAGTGAAAATATAAAATAATGAATCCGCATGCCACTTGTGAAGGAATTTTAGCTTTGAATAAATAATAACTTCGGATCAAAACCTTTCATCACGGAGTTTTAGGGAATTGGTAGATTGATTTATTGATTGATTATACATTAACACACTGATTTATCCATTGACTGTAAATATTTGTGTTAGTTAATTTGACTTAGAAGGTCATATATACCCAGGAACGATAAAAAGGCAAGGGGGGCAAACGCACACCAAAGGGCACCTCTATAGGCCCCGGTGAAGATATAAACCTGCAATTATGTGTTGACTTGCCAATATATGAAAACAAACGCACTTAATCAGGTCACATTCAAGATCACACCTCATGATTTTGCCCATGCAAAAAGCATCACTGGAAATGTGATTTATCAGGTAGTATTTTATAACTCAAAGGGCACTTCTGCCCCTCTTGCCCCTCCTAGCAAAAGGCAAGACGGGCAGCTGCCCCCCCCCCCTCCCCCAGTTCCGGCGTCCCTGTTCCCACTCCCTAATAAACGCTTAAAAAACAACAATAACTTTTATCATTTGAATACTTTGAAAATGTATTTGGAATAAGTTTAACTTAATGTTTATAAGTTCCCTGTTTAAGACATAGAAAACATACAAGCCTTCTCATTTCATGGGAATATCCTGAGTCTGCAATAGTGCAATCACGGCTTCAATTTTTGAATTGAATAATCAAGTTAGATGCACTATCTAGTGTAGTCGGGAACCAAGGTAACATACGCCCATAAATTAACTATCGCTTTAAATTTCTCATTAAAAACAACTCCGTTAATTTGAGCTCTTATAATTTTCAGTATTTTATACTGAATTAGTGAATATTTTGTCGCTCTGAAAATAATACGGAACGAATATCTGCATATGTTTTAAATAAATTAAAGACTAAAATACAGATAGTTTTTGCTTAAATGAATGAATAAAAGCGTACCTATTAACAACAGAGATTTAATCTGAAATCATGCATATATTATGAAAAGTACTGACATTTGAAATTACGTTGTATTATGAACTGTACATAAATCCTGTAATCCGAGCCGATTATAATTAAACAGTGTCTAATATCAGACTGTTTACTTTTCGTTGGCAAGGACATACGAATCTAACCCAAGTAAAATTCATTCAATTTATTAGCGAAATTGTGTGAAATAATGGTTTTTGGGACTGCATGGCTATAGTCTCCTTTTTCGACCTTGTGGGTTGTTTTATATGGACTAAACTTATCCTTAACATTAATTATTTTTGACATTGTATGTCTGCGACTGTTTATAGAACTGGCAAATGTCAAGGACAAGTCGAATGTTGAATGGCCAATATTCATTTGATTATGTGACTTTGGCATTGGAAAAAGATAAAGAAATTAGTCCGAAATTTACGACGAAAATACATGGCTCGGGGACATCACAGACTTTTGTCTTTCTGGCGGATGCGAATGAGTGAATTGACTCGAATCGCCTTTCGGAAGTTAACAAGTCTTTCGCATCATTGCATGTACTTATTCAATCACATATGCCAGGAGGAGAAAACCGCCGATAGAATTGCTACTGTGAACCTAGGTCTTTAATTCCCAGACTTGCCCGATTTTAGGTACCGCCTGCCATGCAGGCTACTGTGAACTAGGCTTTACTCGTTGTGTACTAACTTGTTTACTTCTCCACACAGTTCTCACGTGACTTCTCATGTCTGCTGAGCTGCGTTGATTGGCTGAAAGATTTCCCGCATTTTCGACATTTGAACGGACGTTCACCCGTGTGCGTCCTTATATGGTTACTGAGCGTGGTAGAACCGCTGAACGTGCGGCCGCAGTAGCCGCACTTGAACGGCTTGTCGCTGACGTGATCAACCACGTGACTCCGCAATTCGTCAGGATTCGAAAACGAGGCCGGACATTGGCCGCACTGAAAAGGTTTTTCCGGGGATTTGTCGCAAACGTGCATCTGTAAGGCGACACGTTGGGTGAAAGTTTGTTCACATTGTCCACATCGCCATTGGTTTGTCTCGTTCAACGAACTGAGGGCGAAGTTGTGTCACTCACAACTTGTTATCAAGTTGCTGAATTGCAGAACGATAACAAGTTGTTGGAACAACTTGTACAAAGTCTGTTGAGCTCAACAACCTTGTAGCAAGTTGTCAACAAGCCGTTGACAACTTGTCAGTTGCCAACAAGCTGGGAACAAGCCGTGCTAACACATCCTGTTGACAAGTTGAGCATTGCTACAAGTTTGCTTATGACTCCATTCAATATTTTAAATTTTTGACCC